TCACTCTTCTTTCAGATATATTGGGCACTGTAACTTGAAATACTTTTTTTTTATAGTTCTAACCTTTAAGATGAGAAACATTCAAACGAGAAGAACGCAAAGCTGTAAGCAACTACAGCAGCAAACTTCAGTAAAGTTCAGTACAGTTGAAGATTTTACCTCAACAGACATAAGGTGTGCAATTTCACAAAACAACTGTTGCTAGATTTTTGAGTCAGGCTCAGTTTTACACAAAGAAACATACTAATAGTTTGGGCTCATTAAAACACATGGGGGCTCCCCTTCAAGTGTCACCACTGCCTAACTTCCTTTCCCCACGTGTAACAGCTGAAGTACTGAACACCAGTTTAGAATAAGTATTTCCTCATTACACTTAACTTTCAGATAATCTTTAAAGTTGGGATACTGTGGAATCTTCAGTTTATTATGCAAGGTTATTTGGCAGCTAGTTTGAAGACCTGAACCAGGATTAGGATTCCATGAAAGTCTTTGAGAAAGATCCAATGCCCCTAACAGAGAGAAGTACTCTTTTATAGCACCTTTGGCATAATGAAACACCTGGTTGGAATCACAACACACATACTGGCACTGGATTCTAGTAAAAGGATATTTCACTGAGGTTGACTTTTCCTGTAATGGAAAACTTCACCTTTATATTTTAAAGCAAGTGAAATCACATTTGGCGATTTTATGTTCAATAAAATTATACAATGAAGTATTTACAGCTTCTTTAGAACAGCCAGCGCCCCTCCCACATATTAAATTTTAACAAGGTTAAACTACATATTGTGGTGATGCAAATTTATCTCGTGACAACAAAAACCTCAAAATTTCAAGGATTTACAGGAAATCCGCACAATAGAATTGCCTTGTTACCAATGTTATCTGCATTTAGCCAGAAACACCATTCTAATTTTTTTTCAGAGAGCTGCTTTTTAAGCTATTACTTTCATAGTGGGAAATGGAGTAATGATACAGTGTAACAATGACACAGGTTTGCCCCACTAACTGAACTTCTTGGAAGATGCAATTTCACTGCTCAGTTTTAAAAAGCTGTCAATTCAGGCTGTTACATGAAACTTGCATACCCGAAAGCTTTTGGCCAGTTATAGTAAGTTATTCCAGTACAGGCACAGTTTTCTCTCTATAAAGTCAATGGCTTTTCCCATAACCTTTCCACACCTCCTCACACGTGACATCCCAACCACAACAGGACTGCTCTTCACGCTTAAGGCACAGAACACAGACCAGCATCACAGCTGACATCCAGACCACCTCTCTTTTCCATGAACAACCGCAAACCACTCCGGTAAGCAAGCATAACTGTGGCAAAATAGAACTGTCCAGAGGCACCATGCATGTATTAGACCACTGTCAGACAAATAGCTTCTGAAGAGAGTAAGCAGTGACACTGAAATTTACTGTTACACAAACTCAGAGGAGTAGTCAAGCTGATGAAGCAAGAAAATAAATTCACCTAAAACTGATCATCTTCTGTTATCTGGTTAAGTGATAGCAACAAGGTCTGCTAGGCCAAGACTTTCAGGATTTAGCCATATTCATCTTACAGGTTTTCAGAGTAAGTGTATCATTTCAGTAATGCCAAGCCTTGGAAGGCAAAGTCTTTTAGAGAAGCCATATAATACATGGAAGCCTAAAAAGCTGGCAGCAAAGGGTCATCCGTTCTAAGGCACAGAGGTGCTGAACTTGAGAGTTTGGCAAAAATAGGAGAAATGAATGCACAGATGAAATGAAGTAACCAAACAAAACATATCTTTGAGACTGTAGAACTTACTGCCATGAGAGATGACCAAATCCAAGAATTTAGTACAAGTTTAGCTGTCCACTCTCAAAGGGGAGAAGGCAGTAGACATATCAAAGAGGAACAAAAAACCTTTTCATAACATAAAAGAAGGTACAACAGTGACAACCAGAAGATCCAGTCTAAGCCAGTTTTGCATGTTGGACCTTTAGGTGACTACTGTAATCCATACAGGAAAAAAAGGTTTAAAAGTTTAGATTCATTCTACTTCCTCTTCTGGAGTTGGTCCCCATTTCTCTCTGCCAGATGGAAGGTTAAAGAAGTCACATGTTTCAAGATGTTGAATAAGAATGAATGAGCATGATATTCCAGTTGACTAAATGGTCTGTTTTCCCTGGTATAATTCCAGCCTAAAAAAAACAAATCATGTGGATACCATTGTTCAACAATATCTCAGTATTTCCAAGCCTAAAATCCCCTACTTTTTAACCAATGAGACAAATATGGAGGCAAGAAACAATTTCAGGCAAAGTAGCACTGGTTTATTGCATGGCTTGTGTTTTGTAGGGCTTTTTAAAAAAGACAGAGAAAGAAAAAGGGGAACTACTACTTGGCCAGTAATAGCATTCAACATTTTATGGTCAACACCAGACCTTTACTCTTTCTAGAAGAGTAACCAGGAACATGGCCTTAGCTCACAAATATGCAATTTAAAACCACAAAGGAAAACCATCAATTGGAATTTTCAGGGCTCAGTAACCCTAAGAGACACTGTCATGGTATCCCAACACAAGAGGTAAAGTGTAGTGCCTCTAAATGTCCCTTCAGGGAAATCATTTAGTAACCTGCTAGTCTGTAGCAGCTTTGGATGACAACAGGCAGTTCCAGCACCCATGTGAGTCTGGAAGATAAATCCACCAAGTCATACCGGGAAAAAAATTTAGATAACAAAAGCACAATGAGGCCCACAGACTTTAAGTCAAGATTAATGAGGTATAAAACTGCAAATATATACTTAGACCAAAAATAAAGGCTAAATTTAATCTAATGCTCTAGAAGAGTTAAGCAAACAGTACTAACTGTTCATGGCTCCACCCTTATATTATCACTATCTGTAGAAAATAATTCTTGATTTGGAAAATGAAAAGGCTGCATTCACAGGAAACAGATCGCATGTCACTATTGCAACACAAGACTTCAACCTCCATCCGAACAGTCAGCTGATGCCAGCAGTCATTTTCCACTGTTGCCTTAATCTCTCCTTCCCTGTACTCTCAAACTGATGACCATGGTGACTTAGTATTTCTGAATGCCACGCTTTGCCACCTGATTACAAAATTAAAACTGGTTTGTTTCCCACATAAAAGAATAAAACTTTTCTGGAAGACTTCACATAAGAAACTGACAGGCAGAGAAAAAAATAAGCTGCATTATTTTTGGTAATTTAAAGACCTGTAGACTCTGACCTCACTTCACACACTCTTAAGTAAAAAATAATAAAATGTTGATACAATTAAAATTTTTGTGTTTGCTGGTCGTTTAAAGGCCTTTTAAAACGGTGCACAGAAAAGCCAAACGTTAGCTACTGCAGATCTGCAGTGTCAAAGTCAGCACAAATACAGCAATTTACAGTATACTGAGGATCTGCCTCAGCTACTCAAACTTCCACTACCAAATGCCAGCTTGTATTTGGCACGTTCTTGCTGAAGTGCTACCAAGGGGTGGGCTAGTAAATTACCTCTAGCAGTCTGTCAGGAGGCTTTCGTCCTTGTCCAGCCCCTCTCCACTTCATCAAGTGGTATTAGCATTTCAAATACCATGCTAGATCAAATAGCCAGTGTACTTTGTTGAAGTATTGCATTACAATGAATAAAAGTATCACCAAATTGCTTTTATGCCCAGCAGGAGTGCAAGTTCTCTGAGGGAAGCCAGTAAAGCCTTAGGAAGAGAGGTTTTACTTTCTTTTACTTCTTCCTAAGAAAGCACATCACTTTGGGCAACTGCATTGAGTGGATGGATCTAGACACGTCACATACTGCAATGTCACTGGCAGCTGTAACATGTACAATATCATCCAGTCATGTATCATTTCTTCCTTGCCTCTAAGTGAATGACAAGTGCGCCGTTTGGAACACCTCACCTAAACCAGAATTTTTTCACTTGCTACAGGAAATCGCATTTGGAATCGCATTTGATGTGCCATCAGTATATTCAACCGCAAAACAACGGGTGGGCTCCTCGGCTAGGAATGGGCTGCAGTCAGAAGCCCGCAGCAGCATTCCTGCTCCACAACCTTGATGCTCCGTCTCTGCCGGGCTGCGGTCAAGGCACAGACAGATTCAGTTCCACCCACTCAAGATGGTGGGATGACCCGGCACTGAAACCCGGCCACTATCACCCCTTCCCTTTTTTATACGAGACTCCGGAATAACCCTGGGGTATCTCACTGGGCGTCTGCGAGATCGCTCAGCAGGTTTCTCACTCAGGAGCCGCTTCGCTTCCAGATCTCATCTCCCTGAGCAGCAGGACCGGGAAGCGCACGGCCGCCTTCCCGCTGGGACACGGTGGCTCCGTAAAGGTCGGCTGCCCGGGGGCCCGGCGACACCCGCTCGGCAGGGCCGGGGCCGCGCTGCCTCAGGAAGCGGCTCCGCGGGGACCCCGCGCCGCTCCCGGGCAGGGACCGAGCGGGGCGGCGGGAGCCGAGCCCCCGCTTCACCGGAGAGGAGGACGCCCTGAGGGCACGCCTCGGGAGAGGCGAGGGGAGCGGTGCAGGGTTGGGGAAGGGCCCGAGCGCCTCACCTGAGCCGACCCGGCGCGCCCGATCCGCCCGATGCGCCCGAGTCCCCCCGGCAGCGACGGCGGCAAAGGCAGCACTCGATCAGCTGACGCCGGGCCCCGCGCGCATGCGCCGCGCCGGACCGCGCCGCGCACCGGAAGTGCCCGGCGCGAGCCTTGCCCAACTCCGGGCGGGGCTTCACCTGCCCAGCCCAGGCCGCTTCCGGGCAAAGGCGAGCCGGGCGCAGCGGGGCGCGATGATTGGCCGTCCTGCACCACGTGGCAGCCTCGTCGCCCCGCCCCCGAGTCACGCGAGGGCCTCCCCCTCCTTCTCCCCCTCGGGGGAGGGGCGAGGCGCGTGCGCGGTGGGGGCGCGCGGGGGGGCGGGGGTCATGGCGGGCGGGGCGGGGGCGCGCGCGCGGCGTGAGGTGAGGGGTCAGCGGGGCGGGGCGGGCGGAGGCCCATGTGGAGCGGGAGCGGGATCGGGATCAGGAGTGGGATCGGGAGGAGACTGAGGCGCCCGCGCTGAGCACGGCGAGGCCGGAGCCGCACCCGCATCGCCGGGCCCTGCACGCAGCCAGCGCGGAGGCCGGGCAGGCCGCGGACGCACCATGAAGGGGTGAGTGCGGGGCTCGGCCCGGCCCGGGCCCGCCCGGGCCGCCCGGCAGCAGAGCGGGGAGCGGCAGCGGGGCGGGCCCGGGCGCTGCGGGCCAGACACGGCGGACGGGAGGCGGGGGGCGCCGAGCGGTGCCGCCGCCTCGGGACTTGATGGGTGTCGCCGCGTCCCTCCCGCCCTCGGGGACGGGGCTCGCGGGGGCGAGTGCAGGGGGAGCCCCTCTTGAGGGAGAAGAGCCGGCGGTGCAGGAGCGCCCCGCGGGAACCCCCGCGCCCTCCCGGCTGTGCCGCCGCCGGAGCGGGGGCTCCGGGCGCTCCGCGCCGGGGACGCGGGACGCGGCGGCTCCGCGTGCTCGGGGGGATCCCGCCCTGCGGTGTCCGGGAACCCGCACAGTGGACGGGGATGCGGGCCCAGCTCTCGCCCCTGCCTGGCTGGGCTGCCGTCGTTGTGTGGCAGTAGCGAAGAAGCGCCGCTCGGTCTGTGCGGAAAGGCTGCCAGCCTCGGGTGTGTGTGATTTTGCAGCGCTGTTGTGTGTAATGTCCTTTTAGCACTTTTTGTCGGGTTTTAAGTCTTTAATTGCTACGTGGAGGCTGTGCGGCGTGGATGGATGACAAACGAGCTGTGTTCTGTGTCACGTTTCGGTAGCACGCTGCTCTCGGCCTGCCGTCACTTCTCTGTGGCTCTCGAAAACCGGAGATTTCAGGCGTGGTTGACTGAAACACTGATTTCCTGCTCAGTGGGGGCAACGAGGTGCCGTGTTTGAGTAGGTGATCGGAGGCCTTTAGACTCTCAGTTCTGCTTTGGTGTCAGATGACCTGTCTGACCTTGTGCAGGTCACTTTGGGACAGGTTTTTCAGTGTTGGTTAAATCTCCTGATGTTTATTAATTTCAGCATCACTTTCAGCTCCATGAAATGTGATCGTTCCACTCCTGTTCCTCACTTTCTTCATTCTCACAAAGGAAGCTTTCCACAGCTGCTTCTCAAAAGAGCATTAAACCAGTCCCCTTGAAACTGGTGTTATGCAATGATGGGTATTATTATTCCAGTTTGGCAGCTTAAGGCAGAGTGAATGGAAGCTGAAGCACTTAAGCTTTTACTAAGAAATGGTAAGGGGTTTAGCTTATTAGCAATTGGGGTGAGGTCACACAAGACTGCTTGATAACAGAGTCTTAGCTGTTTCTTACAGCATGTAAACAGCTACAGACATGTGGAGGGCTGACAAGTGTCTGTAGAAAGAGGCTCAGCGATGATTGCAAATAAACTGACTCTCAGCTGACACACTAAATAGGTGTGTTTGGGGTATTGGACAACTCTTTATCCACCTGCATGGAACGGGGCACCCCTGCTCTTAGTCACCTTGTAATGAGGATGGTGGAGTTTGGGAGGAGAGCAGCAGCAGGATCAGCCCAGGAGAGGTGGCAGTTGATGTGATTGTTGTTCTGCAGCGCTCCCGACAGAACTGGGTTTCCTTTTATCCTTTGTTGACCGTCCTGCTGTTTGCTACAGCTTAGCTTTGCCTTGGCCCTGTGTCAGTTGTGGGACAGGGTTACTGGGACCTGGATGTGTGAGGGTTGTCCGGGCATGTCCAGCTGGAACCATGGGGGTCTCCTGGCAGGTCACAACCAGAGCTGTGCACTGTGCTGTGGTGCTCCTCAAGGGGTGAGCCTGGCTGTGCTTGCACTGCTCAGGAGTTCTCATTTTGTGGAGATTTTTACCTTTTGTAACTTTTTTAATAAAAAGCTATAGAGTAAAAACCTACATACCCCTCTTCTGCTTTCAGAGCACCAAACTTTGTTTCTGTTACTTTACTTTCACTTAGAGGCAGTTTTATCACTGGTTCGACTTCAAGACTTATTCTTTGGACTCTGTACTCTGTGCTTTTCTGGTACTTCTTCATCTCTTTGAAGAGATATTCCTGTCTTGCCAAAACACTGTTAGCACCACGCAGCAAGTTCTTGTGCAGAATAAATTCATATTCTTGTGCAGATTCTCATATTGAATCCAGGTGTTCTCTGAAATTTCAAATAGAGGCAAATACGCCAACAGAACTCAAATTGAAAAATAACCCCATTTAAATACAATGCGAGACTCAAAGGACTAGAGAATATTTCAAAAGGAATATATAAATTATAGAGGGGTACTTTGAAACAAGTCCAAATTGTTTGTCAAGTTACAAAGATCGGTGAAGATCCCTAAAGTACTGTCAGAAGATGGCTCTAAAAATAGATCTAAAGCTTCAATTCCCCATATACAGAAACTGATGTGCTCGAAGGGATCTGGTCTGTCTTTAGTATTGAATCCAAAATTGTGGATAAGTCCTTTTGAACAAACTGACTCCATCTGAGTACTTTTTCTGGGAGTGTGTGTGTTGCATTGTAACCCACACCGCAAAGGACAGAGATGATTTTGGGGAGCGCTAAGACACATGATGTCAGCTGTAATTATGAAGAGTCTGCTTGGGCAGAGAAAGAATTAAAGAAGAAACTGTCAAGTTCACTGACGTTTTGAAATTTCAGATCTATAGGATTCAGATCTAAGCGTGTTACTTGCAGCCCTCTTTCTTAGCTCTCCGAATTCAAAATAGCACATAGATATGTGTTAATAATGGACAGCAGGTTGTAATGTCTGTGACCTCCTCTACTAAGGACCTCTGGTTTCAGAGACAGTTTTTTGCTTTCTCAGCTGCTTAAAATTTTGTGGGTTTTCTCTTATTTGGTGAGTTAAACAGCTTCTGAACTGGTAACTGCTATTAGCTCCCACCTGGTTTTACTGGTGATACTTGGCTTTATGTTCGCTCTGTCTTCGCCTTCTGAATGATTTCAACAGTGTAGAGTCTCATATGTTTCCCTCTTTTTCTGAAATGTGGCTTGAGAAACTGAGGTAATTCACTGTTCTGTTGGTGAACCTCATGATTCTCTAGAGATTCATTTCTTTTTTTCATTTATTGTATTCCTAAATGTTGTTATTGTTAGTTCTGGAATTTGAAAATCTATTTTAGAACTGGGTTTGCATGAAGAAAAATACCAGTGGGAGGGACTCGGGTTCTACTGTGCGTAGTAATTTGGCTGTTTTTGTAGAGCAGATGTAAATAATACTCCCTGCACTTTGCTGCTTTCAGGATGTTGATTCACTTGTTTCTTGGTTTTTTTGTATTTTCGTTACAGTCCTTAAGCTACTGGTTTTAAGGAGAAGACAAAATCTTGCATTGATTCTCGAGCATTTGCTTATTGCTGTCTGTGACCTGTTGATATGTTAAAGTAAGGATACCTTTCTGAGCTGTTTCAGTTCAGATGAAACCTGGGAGACGAAGGCATCCAGCCTTCCCTAAAGACCACATTACACGAGGGTGCTGCAGGACCTGCATGCTCCATTGTATGCACATACCCACTGTGTGACAGGACTGTCAGATGCATTGAGCACGTAGTGCATGTTCTGGGCAGGGCCCAGTGCCCGTGATCCTGTGCATGTGCATTGTCACATTGACCAAACTCCACTTTTGATGGGAAACACCTGTGGGATTGTCATGTGGCAGCACATGCTTGAGCCACGTGATGAAAAACTGATTGAAAAGAGAGCAAAGTGCTGTGTGTTAAGGCACTGCCTCAGAAAGTAAGGTCCACTACTTTTCAGTAAGAAATTCCTGGAGGAGTGCCTCTCACTCTTATGTGTTTACAGTTATGTCTCAGGTTTTGTAGTTTCTAAGGCTCCTCACTTGCTGCAGAAGAGTCCTTAAGGCTGCATGTTTCATAGCAGGTATCTGCTGCCACAGGGACCTTCCTAACCCAGAGGCTTTCCAGGCTAGTGCTATTCTGGCTGCCTTTGTAGGAGAGACATCACTGCTGAGGAGTACTGAACATAACAGAAACATAGCTAGTGTTTTTAAAATACAGGGAATCATTATGGTAAACTGGTATCTCTGCTTGTTTGGCCAGGATTCACAAAATAAACCTTTCAAGGTCCTGAAGCTGTGCGTGTTTCTCACGAGAACAGGGAGAGTTTTTTCTCTCCTGAGTTAGTATGATGGAATTTGTGCAGAGCTGTACATTTGCTTCCATTCCTTAGGCACAGGGCTGAGCTTAATGTATATGGGAGGAAGTTCCAGGTTTATGAGAAAACTGCTGAATTGTCATATGCACTGGAGACAAAAAAAGGTAATTGAACTTGAAATTCATTGTTTATTTTTAGTCTTTTTCTGAACCTAGAAATGTCCAAGTGTGAGCCATACTCTCTGCATTTAATTTCATAGGTGGTAAATTTAGACCTTGCCTATATGGATGCTTACAAATGGCTTAATAGCTTCTAAATGAGTTTATAAAAAACTCAGTACGGTTTATTATAGGGACTTTAACCTGATTTATAACTCTTACCCTTTTTGAGTTTAATTCCATAACCAGATTAAGACATTCCACGAAGTAGGAAGGATTGGGAGGGTAGGAAGGTAACGCAGGGGTTGTGGCCATTTTATTGAAGCACTTCAGAACCCAGTCTTGGCTTTTGAGTGCTGTTTGACCATTCAGTTCTTTTTGCATGTACATGTGGCTTGTTAATATATAGATTGGCTTGCTAGTTTGGGACACTTCTATGAAAAATATAGTATCTTTAGTTAATCACCAAATACCACAGACTCTGCTGCCATCTCCTGAGGACAAGAAATGATGCATCCTCCTTTGCCACATTAAATCTCTTCTGAAATGGGGAATAATGGGTGACGGATGAGCCAGAAAAATACTTTTATCCAAGTGGAAATTATTCAGAACTTGAAGAGCCTGCCCATTTGGCAACCATCAGAAGTGTTCAGCCCAATAATCTGAGAAGGCGCTAGATGTTTTTACCTAGTGGAGGTGAAGGAGAGAACAGAAGTTGGATCTTTGTTTGGGAATCAATAAGAGAAGTGCAGTATTTCCTTGCATCCCTACTTCTCTAAGTGAGGCAGGCAATGTCAGGATTACTTTCTCCTCCCTGATGAAAGAGGGGAAGGAAAAAAGTGGTGTATGTGGAGTTC